GTAAATTTCCCTCTAAACATTTTTTAGCTCCATCCTATACGTTTCATTTTCATTCATTTCAAAGTATTTTCTAATTTCCTTTTCGATTTCTTCTTTGATTCATTAGTTATTTAGGAGTGTGTTGTTTAAATTCTACATATTTACGAGTTTCCCGACTAGTCAGAGAACATACTTTGTATTATTTCTATCCTTTCAAATTTACTGAGGTTTGTTTTATGGCCTTGCACGTAGTTCATTCTGGGGAAAATTCCGTGTGCACTTGAAAAGAATGTACATCGTGCTGTGATGGGCAGAGCGTCCTGTAGATGCCTGCTAGGTCCAGCTGGTGATCGGTGTTGTTCGAGTGTGCTACTTCCCTTTTGGACTGCTGTCTAGGTCTACCCATTATTGAAAGCATGATACTGAAATCTGCTATTATTGTTCCATTGTCTGTTTCTCTCTTCGTCTCTGTCAGTTTCGCTTCACGCATTTTGGGGCTCCGTTGTTAGCTGCACATGTGTTTGTACTTACTACAGCTTCCTGACTGATCGACCCTATTATTATGACAAAACGTCCCTCTTTAAATCTAGTGACATTTCCAGTTTTAAAGTCTACCTTATCTAACATTAGTATAGCTATTCAGCTTTTCTTGTGGTTACTCCAAAGCTGTTTTGATTTCTCAAAGGCGTTGATGGGCAGGGTCGGTCAGTGAAGAAATTGCTTCTTTTTCCCCCTTTTTGGCTCATATTTCACATGAAATATTTCACCAATGAATACACCCTCCCTGAGCAAGTAGATATGATTCATGACGCGAAGACCTGCCCGATGTGACAACTCTTGGGTTTAGATAGGACCCTCATCATGGGTTGCCTCATTCATTCCCTGTTCTCCTCGCTTCGTTCTCAACAAATTAAAATTGTATCTTTTAAAATAACTAGGAGTCTTCCTGACCAGGACTTAGAGGTAAGGAAAACGAAACTAAGGGGAAGAGAAATCAGGAAAAGTTTATGAAAATCACGGGAATAAACAAGTGCTAGGAAACAAGATGTTTACTCTTGAACCCCTCGAGTCAGAAAAGCTCCCTGAATTCTCAAGTCTGAATTCTCGGGGTCATTCGCTTGCTCCAGACTCAGAACTCTCAGGTGATGCAGTGCGAAGTGAAGCGGAGGGAGGATGGCACGTGTCCGTGCGCCCTACTGTGCCAGAGTGACTACAGATCCAAAAGGAATTCAAAAAACATTAAAAAGCGGGTACCGCGAGCGAGGGTCCCTGTGCGACCTTCTCGTGTCGGAATCCACTTGTCCTCAAGGGGGACGGCCCAGATATCCCCTCTGCGTGAGAAAACTTCATACTCTGTGCCAGTTTCCTGTCGCTGCTTTGAGCTCTAAGGCTTCAGAGAGGGGAGGGGAGTGTGACCTCTGCCCAGCTGTGTGCTGGCACAAGTCCCTGGTGACAGTGTGTCTTTGGAGTAGCTAGCTCCTCCCTGCTCCTTCAGTGACCAGCCAATTTGGTCTCAGGAAGCCACTCCACAGTGGTGGCTGGGTTTGGAAGTCATTTTTAATTTTGTGACAAAGACAAATGTGTCCTATGGGAGTAGTGAGTGGTTTTACTGGTGATATTAATGGAACCGTGACCTCTTCTGTATCTGGGGTCCTACAGAACAAAAATGTTTGTATTCTAATATGTCAGGCAAGTTCATTCTCAGCCCTTCCTTGAAGCAAACTATGGAGGAAATATACTATTAATAAGCCCAGAGCACACTGCTTGTGAGCGTGTGTGTACCCACGGCCCTGAGCTCGTTTGTGAACGCAGTGGCTTCACAGTGCCCCTGTGCATTTTGAATTGTGTTGGGATGGACACAACTCATTGAAGTCCTGACATCTCCGAACAGAATCGTTGTGGGTGGGCCTAGTGCTGGAATTCACATTGGTATTTAAGGGCCAGTAGCTGTAGTAAAAATTCAAGTGTTGGGGGATCCAGAGTGATGGGGGGGAGTAACTCCAGAGCCACACTGAACGAACCCCTTCTGTTTTCCTTTGGGACTGGCGTTCACTAGCCTAGAAACGACCGATGTTTACTATTTCCTACGGGAACTTCAGTGCCGGTGTCCTTGGTTGAAAATGGTTGCTTAAGGAGACAGTACGTGAAATGTGAAGGATTTACAGTTTAGTTACATGAATTAAACCATTTCCTGGTGTTTGTGTTTACCTTGGGACTCACAAAGGAGACAAAAATATAGACTCACAGGAGGAAGGAAAGGAATGATCAAATCTCAGTAGTCCCTGCCTGAATGTCTAGCTCAGCAGCTTTATTTAGGGGAGGAATTTCGTGCTGATAAGTGAATCTTTGTCTCTGTATAATTAACTTTTCCTCTCTGCATATGCTACTACGTGCATTGAGCTTCACTAATAGACATGTAACTATTAACTATGACAGTTGGTGTCTCATCTTATTATATTGGACGAAACTAAAGTAAATTAAAGGCGAAATTTATAGTTTCTCTCAAGTAAAAATGGAAGGTGCTTTATAACACAAGACTTAAATTCGATGATTAAAAGTGTTATTATGATGCACGATCGTTCTAGAAAGTCTGACAAATACGGAAGAAAGTAAATGAGAAAATAACAACAACCCATAAGATAACCATGAACATTTTAGCATATACATTTTGCCTTTTTTTGGTACCGTTATATGAATACATACTTATAGCTTTACAGTTAAGACTATGAGTATAATTTGTGATTTCCATGTATCCTAATGCCCTCTCTCCGTATGTTCAAGTCTTTCAAAATAATAAGAAAAGTAAGAGCTGACACATATATAGTACCATCTGCAGGACACCATTCTAAGTGCTTTTCATACATTAATCCATGCAAGCCTCGTTATAACCCTTTAAAGCAGATTTTACGAAGGAGGCGCAGAGGGTGAGGTGGTTTGCCTCGCGACTAGTAAGAGGCAGAGCAGAGACTGAGACCCGGGTTATACAGTATGTGCCCTTAGCCTGGTCTGACTCTGCGCCTGGGAACGGCCCTGTCCCCGTCCTGTCGGGCCCCCCTAGCCCTGCCTCCTGCTGGTCATCCTGTTCGAGGAATTCTAACACCAGACGGTATGACATGGGACATACTTTCCCCAGAACATGTAAAAACCAGCCCGGGCTCTGGAAATCCATACTGCCTGCAGCCTCCAGCCCTTCCCGTGAGGGGCTCGTCTTTCAGAGGGGCGGCTGGCTGAGACTGGCCTCCGGGCCTGGCTCTGTCCGGGCTGGACAGCTCGTCTGTTCACACCCCTGGTGTCTCCTCTAGAAAATGGGGTTGGACAGCCCTTCGCTCGTTTACTGGCTCGTTCACATGTTCATTTATCACACACGAGGCATTCTTCCTCTATCCGCTCTCTCTGGGAATCCGCCATCCCGTGCGTGGCCAGAGAAGTACGCAGCCGGGTCAGGGTCAGTGCGCTCCATGTGACAGGAGGGGGCTGGGGTGCGGGGCGAGCCCCCAGGACGGGCAGTGGTGCAGGGTGTGTGTGACAAGGGGCTGGCTGGCAAGGCTCCCCACAAGATGAGTATGAATGACAGGCACCCAGGGGCGCGACAGGGGTTTGTGGTGACAGGCTCTCTGTGGGGCCCTCTCTAGTGTGTGTCAAACTGTCCAATCATCAGCAGACTACAGCAATGTCACTTTTCTTTTGGTAGGGGTGGGGGGTGGAGAGGGGAGGGGAGCTTAAAACTACAGAAATTTGTTGTCGCACGTTCTAGAAACTAGAGGTCCAAAATGCAGGTGTGGGGGCGCCACACTTCCTCCACCATGTGCCGAGGACGCCGTCCCTGCCTGTGTCCCTTCACCTGCAGCCTCCTCCCCCGACCTCTGCCCTGTCACCGCACGGCGTCCTCCCGTGCCTGTCTTCGTGTGGCCTTCTGTTTACATATCGGACCAGGGCCCCACCCTACTTAACTGAAATAACCGCGTGGGCAATGACCCTGTCCCACCCAAACGAAGCCCTGCTCTGCCATCCAGAGGGTCGGGACGAACACACATCGCGGGGACGGGGCATGGTGCAGCCCATAACCACCTCTGAGGCCGCCACCAAGTTGAGGTGACCGCTGCCTGCTTCCTGCTCTTGTTTCTCGGTCCGTTCCCATCTCAGCATCCAGAATAAGCTTCCTGGGGGCCAGCAAGCAGGTGGGGCCATGTGCAGTTTCAGATCGAGACGGAGTTAGCACAGGACCTCCTTCCGTCTGGGGGTGTCACTGGAGCCAAGGGGAGAAGGTGGCAGGGGAGAAGATCCTGCTGTCAGTGGACTGCCGAGGGCAAGGCCTTGGCGCACTGTGAGACGTTTGTAAAGGAGCCTTGGTCCGGTCCCCAGGAGAATTATGGGGAAGCTGAACAGGTGGTCTGAACCCTCCTGGCCCCTGAGACGCGGAACGCCACACTTCCTAAGGCTGGCACCCTGGCGATGACGAAGCCCCTCCAGACCCCTCCGCGTGCTCCTGCTCACGCTCTCCCATTAGCAGATAAGTGGTGCTTACGCAGGAAACAGACCCAAAACGGTACGAAATCCACGCAGATTCCCCGCTGCTCCTCTGGCCTCCG